ATCTAAAACATAACTGTGGATTTTAATTTTTTGTCACACATTATATTATATACCTGAATATGTCATAAGTTTAAACGGAAAAAAAACAGATGTTTTTGTTTCACACGTGGTGTTATGTTTCTATATGCTTTTAAAATACTGTTTTCAATTCAGAACTGCAATTTATTTAATTGGGATTATATGTAGAAAACCAAAACAAGGTGAAAGTGATGTGTGGTTCAAACTCTGTTACCCACAATAATCTGGACAGTCGGTGTGTAGTTGTATCCAACTCCTTTTATTCTGATACACCTAAATAAACGCCAGCAGAATCAACTGTCTGCATCAGAATTCACATTTGATCTGATCTTCCTCTGACTGAGAATAGGAAGTGACCTGACCTTAGTGTGCTTTCAAAATAAAAGTATTGAAATGAAACAGACTTTCATGACAGTTAATGTAAAAACAAGTTTTCAGCATGGAAAATCAGCAGTTATGGTGGCTTTTCATGCAAACCGACAACCAGAGAAGCAGCAAAGAGGCTGAAAGTAACTCAGGAGGAGCTGCAGAGATCCTCCACTCATGTGGAAGTATTTGTTGCTAGGAGAACCTCTGGTCGAAACAATGGCTCAGTTAAAGTTCAGCTGTGGTAGAACTGACACTCTCCATCCAATCCAGCTGAGCTTTAGTTCTGTTGTAAAGAGGAATGGGTCAAATGTTCGATGTAAAGATGCTCACAGCTGGTAGAGGTTGACTCCAGCAGATGGACCACAGAGCAAAGTGTTGGATCAGAGAGCGGTGAACACAAATACATCCCAGACTTTTTATATTTTCATTATTACAGAACATTGAAAATCACACGTCCTTTTCCTTCTACTTTAGTAGCCTGACTACAACACATTGTGATGTTCTGCTGCATAAAATCCCAAAGTTTGTAATTTCAAAGTGACAAAATGTGAAAAGATTTAATGGGTGTGAATATTTTTTATGAGGGATTATAGATGGAGGATGAATGTGTAGAAAATCAATTTTTTTGGAAAAACGTATTTTCAGAAACATTCCATATTTGGTTTCTTTTTTCCCTCAAAGCAACATTTCTTAAACTCCTGCATGTATTGATGAAACCAGCTGGATGTGAGGATGTGTGAGAGGAGTTGCTCTGCCGTTTTCTATTAAATATGACCTAAAAGCATTTAACTTTCTCCTACTACCATTACGTGACACATGAATTTTTTGTTTTAAGATCTCCATTTAGTTCTTGTTTTCCTCCTGCGGTGTGAAATCAGCCCTCTGTGTGTCTCTGTGGGTTGTTTCATTCCTCTCCTCATCCTGCTGCTCTGCAGAAGAAGACCAATTAGAAAGGAGCTGATTGTGACCTCTGCATCCACCTCAGGACTGCCGACAGGAGAGTTAGCATGTAGCCGGACTGTTTTACATGTTATCGACGGGCTGGGAGGCATCATAGTCATTTTATCACACCAATTTCATTCTTGGCCGATTTCCCCTTAGGCAGGTTAGTGGCAGCTTCCCATTGATTTTTCATGTAATTGATCAGAGACCTGCTGGAGCAATTTATTGGCCCACTTGCACCTGTGATTAAGGCTGAGGCCGCATGTGTTTATGCATGCACCAGCAGCTGCTTTCCCTGGGAGCGACCTCTGCGCCGTAAAACGCCGTGGTCCTCTGTGTGGAAACGGTCAGCCTAATGAAAGTTGTCCTGGTCTCCGGGACGTTTCCCATCATGCCTGACCAAAGCCATGTCATGTCCAAAGTCAAGAGCAGCGGAGACGGCTGGCATAGACCCATCAGGGCTGACAGGCCTCACACAAAAACAGAGCAGAGTTTAAATCAGAGTAATCTGTATTCATTTGAAGCTGCTTCATTCATGGAAGTAAATATGAGAGCGCCCGGGGGGCCCGAGACCACAATGACATCAGCTTTGCATTTCTTTTGGTAGCCATCGATGGGATAATTACAGAAGAAGACAAAGACGAAGAGCTGAGTACTTTTTAAATATACACCATGTTAGCCGGGCATGTCAGGAGGAGCGAGGCGAGCAAAGGAAGCCGTTACAGGCCTTACTTACTGCGCTCTAAACCACAAGCTGAGTTGGAGTGCTTAGCGTTGCTGCAGCTCATCTCCCTTTGGTACTGTGACAGAGCTGGAATAGCAAGGATCAGGCATAAAGCCGCTCAACAAGCTCAAGAGCTATCAAAGATCCACCCTTTTAATTTGGTTAATTTACAGGCAGCTTTTTCACTAATAACGTTCTTGGAGTGCTACTTGACAAATGGAAATACACACAGGATGTTTCTGACTTGGAGGAGAAAGTCTCAGCGAATGTTTTGTGTTTTTTTAGACATCTGTCTCTTTTTCTAACTCCCTTCCTTCTCCTCATCATCCTTCACTTCCTTCTTCCCAACAAACCGCCCGTTCAATTAGACTCAACCATAAATGAAACTAAATTTCTGCTCATTATTAGACTTCTACCATATTAGCAGATCTGTTCAAAGCCTTGTGGCTTTGGAAACAACACTTACAACTTTAAGTTTTACAACATGACCCGCAAAATTTTGGTCAGACTGAACATCGTGAAAATTACATGTGGTTTTAGGCCAAATCTGTGAAAAAAAGGAAGAGAAAGGAAGAAGCTGTTTTCAGACGCAAAGGCAAACATGAAATAATGAACCCACTTCATGTCTACTAAAGCTTCCTGATGCAATACAATACATTGGATAATGTTATGGGAATATGTGAATTTATTCAAAAAATAACTGCTGAAGGAAGAAATTACAGAGGCGTTCCTTTGTGATTTGACTGTAATATGAGTTATCCATGAAGACACGTTCAGGATGCAACGATGGGAGAGAGATATGAGGTGCAACAAACTACCCTGTGAGGAAATTAAATGAGACAAATTCACTCCTGTGTCAGAGTTTATTACTCAAAGCAGCTGCACATTATGGTGATTCAACAAAGAAGAAATGAGACTAAAGTCTGCAATAATTACAGTGATGCATGGGAGTGATTTCAGGCCTTTTACTTAGAAATCCCACACATAATCTCAATAAATTACAACTTCACTGTAAAGGTCATTTATGTCAGCAACATAATAGCTACAACAAAATGATTTTAATAAGGAATATTATGGCTATGTTAAGGCCTTTGCAATCCTTTACATCCACTTTAAGAGACGTCCAGCAACCACTGAGGGTCATTACAAGCATTCCAGTTGAAAGTTGTGTGGAAGGAAAAGTCTGGTAGAAAAAGATGAGCAGAGGTTAGTTGCACCGAAACCCGAACCACAGAGAATCTATGGGTTGAGACACCAGAGCCAACAATGCAGGCAAGCTTTTACATTTTTAAATTGCGACTGTAATAAATAAAATATATTACATTGAGAACGTCTAAACAGCATAAATGTAATAACAATTTGAACGTTTTGCATGTAAGAAATGGAACCAACTGCTGAGTTTTGTGAATTCAAAGAGAGAAGTTCCTGTTTTTAAAGGAGCCCAGATGAAGCTCGGTTAACGGCTGACTGCCTGAGTAGTCTATCATCTCTCCTCCCTGAAGTGCAGGCTCGCATGCCGTGCTGATATACATAAAAAGCTGCAGAGAGTGTTTTGAAATCCTCTCCAGCGTGTGCAGGAGGAGGGAAAAGTTGAAGTGTCCAAACTGCGCTGACACAGACGGGCTGATGTGCTCGTTAAGAATCAGGAGAGAGCACCAGCGGAGCAGGTCACCCTGCTTCTCACATCACAGCCCCATCAGAAATTCTTTCAAGTGTCCTTCTGCGTCGCCAAAGATGACAACGGCAAATCGATAAGCGCTTGAAATGAAAAGAAGCCGCCGGTTTGCCCCCGAGGCGAAAGATTTCATACCCGCAAGCCTTGTCTGAACTTCAGGCATTCCTCTGCATCTTTCTGCGTGAGAAAGAGGAGGCAGTTCACTCACTTTTTTTCTTCCTCTCTTTGTGTAAGAAGGTAAGAGAAGCAAATGCGGCCGAAGCATCAAGCCTCTCCAGACGCTGCGCTCCCCCTTTCTTCTGTACTTGCAGGCGGGGCGTAAAGTGGAGAAATCTCTGTGATGCAGGGCTGATGCTTTCTTCTTTTATTTGCATTTTTTCTCATTTGAGCGTGTTTGGTAGGCTTTCCTTGAGAAATTGGTGAAATCCTGACAAACCGGGATGTTTGACATAAAGTGTTTGACATGAATTTGTCCTTATATCACACTGCAGGTCAGGCTCAGATGACTAGAAAATATTTAAAACAATCCCGACTGGATCTTTTATTAGTCCAAATATGTTCAACTGACGCAAAAATGTTTTTTATTCTGTATTTATTCCTACAATTGGATATTTTTATTCTAAAAAATGTAGTTTATTAAATGTATTTCCAATCACTTGATTTTAATTATATATTTTTTTCTTTTTTCTTTTTCTTTCTTTCTTTTTTTGTAGAGGAAGAAACGGCGCGTACGTTTTGCTTCAGTGTCCCCCTTTTGCGTGGAAATTCCCGTGTGGATGAGCGCGTTAATTACTGGCTTATTGGGAGTATGACTAAAAATGTAAAAGACGGATTATGTGCCGGGATGGCGGGCTGGTGGAGGGGGCGGTGCGGTGCGGTGCGGTGCGGTGCGGTGCGGGGGGACTAACGCAGGCCTGCGTCCGGTCTGCTCGCCTCGCTTAAGATGCGGGTGGAACACGCATGCAGTCTCCATCAAACGAAACGGATCCATAAAGAACATTTGCATCCGAGCCAGCTGTTCACTCCGTCCGCACATAAATCCGCAACACGATAGCGCTCTGTCTGGCGCAGAAGGAGGCCACTGCATCTCTATAAAAGCGACGCTCTCAGCTTTTATTTGAAATATTATGTTTTGTGGGTGTATTAAATTAGCTATAAAGGATTTTTTGTGTCTTATCAAATAGTCTTTAATTGAGGCTGAATGGTTGCAGAAATGAGAAAACATGTAATTATTATCTGAATTTAATAGATATGAACTGTTTGCAGACAGCTGTGGTTGCGTCTTGTTTATTCTGCGCACAATTTACGAAAGTTATAAATAGTTTGGCCTTTTATTAATAAGAAAACGAGTTATTAAAAGTTATACACGCCCGTAATCTTTAGATAAAAAGTCGTTTTCATCACCGCTTCCTTCTTGAAAAGACGCATCAGAATAGTTGGATTGTTGGTGAAAGTTGAGAGTTGCCCTCTGCTCTGCGCAAACATGCACACCCCTTTGTGAGCGCGCGCACACCCAGGCACACAAACACACGAGTTCCCCTCTGAGCTCAAAAGCTGGAAAAATTGCGCCACTCTTGGAGCGTCTTTCAAGGGAGGAAAAAAAAGTTGAGGAAGACAGAAGAGGACGAGCCAAGGGGAGACTCGGATGAAAGCGCCTCCTTCGCACTTTCTCCGCGCGCTGTAAACAGACACTTATTTATGCGCATAAATGAAACAAACCTAAAGGCAGCGCCGCGTCTCTTTTTTTGGATACGCGCGGCGTGTAGGAGCTCCTCCATGAGACGCTCACGTTTACGGACAGAAAGTTCACCGCCGCTGGAGCTCGAGGTTGTCTGAGTTTGAGCCGTGAGCGCGGCTTCTGAGGACGGTGGGATTTATTTCCTCACTTTACAAGAAAACGCCGACGGTTTGGAGACAGAAAAAAAAATCCCTGTCCCGTCCAGTGACCGCAGCTGGTGAGTACAGGAGGAGCTGGAGCGCGTTGAGTAAAAAAAAGAAAAAAACAGAAGAACAGAAATGTGAGCTAATGCGAGTGAGGGAATTTGTTCCACTTTGTGCGTTTTCTGATGTTTATTTCAAACCCGTGACTGAAGGAACATAAATGGGGGATGTGAGGGCACCGTTTGGCGCACAGGTCGGCGGATGATCATGAGGTGTTATAGCGATGATGGAGAGCCGGGACACGGGAGAGCGCAAAGTGAAACAGGCAGTGCGATCCTATTAATACGCAAAAACTACCAAAAGAAGGCAAACAGCGGACATTTAGAATAATTAAATCTTCTATTTGGAGTCTAAATACTTCGATAGGTAAAATTCCCCTTGTTGTGATTTACTAATAAATATTCAGGTGATGTAGGTGGAAATTCATCAATTTTGTTCCTTAAGAGAATAAAATAATAGAAAAACGAGATGACGCTGATAGTCCCGCGTCTTTAATTAATACAGGACCATATGATGGAGGTTAGTGGGCTCATCCTGCCGGTGGTGGCTGCAGCCTCGTGCTCACGCTCTGCTAATTTCACGAGTAAAGCCTGCGTGGGGCGATGCCAGCTTTCTGTCTGCACTGGGCCCGATGCCATGAGACTCACTGATTCACATCAACTGCTGGTGCTGAGAGCAAACGGGCTCCACGGAGTGAGAATGAATGGATGAACGGGATGAAAATAAGTAAAGTGGTGATGGCGATGCTGATGCAGCTATCTTTAAACTGCTCCCACAGGGCAATTTATCCCAAATAGATATTAAAAAGAAGGGCCTGTGGCGGCAAAGGCATTATTACCCTTTAAATTACACTAAATTGTATTATTATTATTATTATTATTATTATTATTATTATTATTATTATTATTATTATTATTATTATTTAGTGCATTTGTATTCATTTTTTTAATTAAGAAATTAATTTTCCTCACTTTTCTTTTCACTTTACTTTGTATTTAAAATGTATTTACAATTAATTTAATTTAGATTTTATTTCTTTTGCGCAGTGTTACTTCTTTCTGGAAAAAGGAAATGCAAATTTATTAAATAATATTTTCAAAAGCAGATAATTTGTGGGTGAATTTATGTGATTTTTGCTGTATTAAAATCTCAGTTTTCTAAATAAAATCAAACCAGGTTTGCCTTCAGAGGCCGCGTGTGTAAAATCCTGGAGGGAGCTCTCATTAAACCTCTCTGATTAGATAACGCGGAGCAGCGAGCAATAACCTTCCACCTTCCAGCCTGGCCTCCCACTCTTTCATTTTGCTGCTGGAAAATAGAGAAGGGCTTCTGGAGAACTGTCGCGCAGCTACACACTGTGTAAAACTTAACCTCCAATATCTGCATCCTCTGAATGAAAAACAGGGAATATAAAAAAAAACGCAGCGAAGATGTAGAGCAGGTGAGGAGGAGAAGTGAGGAAAATGGTTAACAGCTTGACTGCATGCAAATTTCCTCCCGCCTCGAATTATCATAAGCAAACAGTGTGAGCCTGGACTAATAAAAACCCATCTGTGTAACTTCATATCGAGGTAGTATGAGGGTTGCGATAATGAATTTTGTAATATCCCACCGACAGACATCTCAATCAGACTCTAATCCCGTGATTTTACCACGGAATCACTCCACTTCCAACTGCAGCAGACAGCAGCAAAACACGCGTGGAGGCTCAGGCAAAACACGACGTGTTTTACCCACGCCACAGAAATCAGACAATGCAGTAAAACAATCGGAAATATGTCGACAGCAAGTGAGGAGGGCGTCACAATTACTGTTTTAATGCAGCTGTAATTTCTGACACGCTTCAAAAAAAGTTCTATAATAAAATTTAACCAGAAAAAACTCATTAGAAGTATTTCACTGACAGCCATCACTGATTCATACTTTCATTAATTTACCCTCTTAAATTAAATAGCACCATGTCTTTATTTCCTGATCTTTCAAGCTTGATTTTTTTTTAATGTAAATTATTTCTATTAGTTTTTGGTAAATTTTAAAGTGTTTCAGAGAATTATCTGAAGACATCACTGTTATTATGGGAAACTAAAATATTTTCTAACCTTAAACGTTTTTAGCTTGTAGTCAAACTAACTGAATATTTTGTGTTTATCTAAATTGCAGAACAGTGACCTCACAGCGCCACAATGGAGTCCCACTGCCGCAAACTGGCCACCACCTGCGCACAAATAGGTGAGTCTCCTCAAGTTTATTCATTTAAAAACAGCGAAGAAAGAGAAAAAAATCCATTCAGACATTTAATATTCAACATTTAATTAAACTCCTTAAAAGTCACATTCAAATGTACCGGTTATAATAATAATAATAATAATAATAATAATAATAATAATAATAATAATAATAATAATAATAATAATAATAATAAACTAAAAATTAAAAAGAAGGACATTTAGTCATTATCTCAATTCATTCTTATGATTAAGAAACAACCTCCTTCTCTAATTACGTCGACGTGACGTCGGTCAAATATTGTCTTTTTTTCTGATAAAATGAAAAATAGTGCAGGTAAATATTTTTTTCTGTCAATTTTAGCAGTCTGATAAAAAAAAATGTGAAGACATATTGGCCTCTGTGGGTTATTGTTCTTTGTCTTAGTGCGCCACCTGCTGGTCAGATGTATTCTCCAATTTTACAGCAGGCTGAGTTGATAACGAGGTTTGGTTTGAGCGGATAAATAATGTTTAGCCGAATTCATTTTCAACCCCCTTGTTTATTTAATTTAATTTTTTCTTTTTACAGTTTTGAACGTAAGAAAAACAAATTTTATCCCGTCAACTTTTCAATGTATTCAGTGAATATAGGAACGATTTTGAAAAAAAAGAAAAAAAGATTTATTTCAGTAAAATTGAATTATTTCATTGCTCTCTAATTCGATTCGAAACTCACATTCAGCTGTAAAAGAACAAACTATAACTTTGATTGTGCAACTCGGTAAACATCGATGTGGCTGCTGGATTCATCCCTTCATCCAAACCACCGCATATTAGGAATAATATGATTAATAGACGCAGAAACTGGCGAGCAGGAGCTGCAGATCACAGGGAGACGGGCGTCATCTGTGCCGCCCTGTAATATATGCAGCGCTCGGTGGATTGGCTCCTGGGAAAACTAAATGTATAATGAAAGCCTATTCGTGAGCAGGAATACGCTAATGGTGGAATCTGATGTCTTCTTAATCCTATGTAAAAAGCCTTGTCGTCTCCCGCTATATTGACTGAATTGCTAATTAATGGCCCTCTATGGCGGAGGCCTATTGCACGCAGTAATCCGCAGAAGAGAGATAAAGCATTCAGACTGTAGAAATGAAGAGGAAACCCATAATCCACTTCAAGTTTAGTATTACAATATGGCTGGAAGAGGAAAAAATGGCCTCACACTGTTTGCTGTATTATTATTATTATTATTATTATTATTATTATTATTATTATTATTATTATTATTATTATTATTTCTGTGAAAATCTTCGTAATTTCTTGTTTTTCACATAACAGTCGCATCTAAATGGTTCCGCTCCAGTTGATTTGTCATGTAATCGGCCTGCAGGAGTGGTGACTGATGTGTGTTTCTGTGCGTGTCGGTGGTCTGCTGGTATTTATATATATATGTGGGGAGAGTTTTCATAGGATCACTGCGCCAAGTCCAAATGCGCTGCATGAAAGCGCGTCCAATTGGGCACGAGGGAGATGAAGGGCTCCTTTTTAGTTTTTCTCGTTTTTTGATGATGATGATGATGATGATGATGATGATGATGATGATGATGATGATGATGATGATGATGATGATGATGATGGTGGTGGTGGTTATTCATGTTAAGGTGGATTTTAACCCGAGTGTTGACCTGCTTCATCACATCTCCGTCACTGGTTTTCTCACACACATTTGTTCCTTTTTCTTTAATGCGTCACGTTCATTAAATGAATGAGATGAAAATTAGATGAGAAGGAAGAAAAAGTCCCAGACGGAGCAGACTGCAGGACCCAGCAGCAAAGTGAGGACAGATCCGGTTTAAGCGCTGATGATGGAGTAATCCGTCCTCACCAAACCTGGGCTGCGGCTGCTGGAGGCCCGCGCGCCTCAGCCGAGCTTCATTTAATGAATCCGAGAAGCCTAACACCGAGGGGTCAAGAGGATCACTCCATTTGACAGCTAGTGTGTGGCTCTTTTGCATGTCGTGAATCAGAAAGTCTGTGAGGTCAGGCTTTTTGTGTCTTGGACTCGATTTGTTGAGGTCTGTTTTGCTTTTATTGCCTTTGACCAAAAATCCACACTGGAAGAATTTAACAAATTAAACTGGTTTCATTGGCTAGATTTTTGTCAACGTTTTTGGACAGAAATAATTTTTGTTTTAACTGCTGAAAGCCACTCAGTTAAATCATTCTATTGTAATTATTCCTCATCTAGTTTGTCCTTTAAGAGTTGGTCTGTGATTAATGCATAAAAATAAATTTTAGATTTATTCTGTAAAGGTTTTCCTTGACAGCCTCAGTTAAAATATCTCATGGTTTTGCTCAGCTTGTGTACCAGTTTAACTTGAACGTGAACTCTGTCACTATTTTAGTTCTAGATGGACACAAGCTAACCTCCAAACCAACCTTTTCCAGAATGGTTCAGCTGGGACACAGCATGTCAGCAAAACTCTGTGACTTTACCTAAATATACTTTAAAATAATTAATGAGAGTCAGACTGCATAAGGGAAACACAGCAAAAGGATAAATAAATGATTCTGCAGCCTGAAGTAATTTTGAACTCAAAATCTATAAAAGTTCAGAAGATTTCAGAAGTTTTGTTCACACTTGTCCAATGGAAGTCAAATTAGGTCAAATCTCTATTTCAACTAAATGGGAATTAGATTGTACTAGATGATCGTGTTGTACTGAGGAAGACTTGAAGTCAAAAACTCATTAGAAACAGAAGTTCTCTTTTTCACAAAGGTTGTTCCCTGGTGTGTCTGTCCACCTGATTCTGACTGCGGAGCAGCAGGGGCAGGCTATTACATGGTGGTGGGAGCATTATGCTGTGGGGATGCTTTACTTCAACACATCACAATTATGATCTGAATGTTCACAGACTGAAGTGCTTGGTGTAAATTAGCCTTTGGATGGAGTCGTTTGACTCTTTTCCTTCAGCGCCTCCATTCTGCGCCCCTGTGCGAACACACATGCGGCACGTGTGCGCTTTTTTCACATAGCATGCGTGTCTGGCAGTTAGCGTCAGTTGACAAGTGCGCGCAGATAGTTTTGGAGCGCTGGCGCCACCACAGCCCTTCTTTTGAAGTTAACATTTGTTTGTCCTTTCACGGGACCTCTGCGGTGCAGAAGGTGTTTGTCTTTGATATTCAGTGCGCATCTATTTTCTTTGCGCCTTTCAATAAAAGCCGCTTTATCCACTGAGCAAACTGCAGCGACAGAGCCGGAGAGAGTGCGGCTCAGCCTGGGTATCAGCGGCACTCCATCTTTTTACCGGGCCACTGGACCCGTCTCATAAAATGAGGCCAAACTGTGTTATTTTCATTTTTATTTGGTCTTGGGCTGCTGCGCAGCAGCGGCTCGGGGCGCAGCTCGGTACACCGTGCGTCTCATCTGACTTTACATGCTTTTATTTGGAAGAGGAAAAATAAGCGCCAGCCCCGGCATAAATACACTGGCAGACATATCTCGTTTCTGTGAGCTCCGGTTGGTTGGGCACATCCACATGGACGCGCCTGTCAGAGAGAATCGGGGCGGGGGCAAAGCGGTGACGTGGAGGTGTGGAGAGAGGCGCAGTTGGATGGGCAGAGCACAGGCAACAGCTGAAATGAGCAGAGAGCGCTGGAGTGTGTGTAAGCCTCTGGATCTAATATCACCTACCTGTCCTTGTCACTCTAATATTCAGCCAAGGTAGCCGCAGTTTTCCACCGATGCTGTGATAAAACTCAATGGCCTGTTTTAAAGCGTTCTCCAGTTTAAACAGAACGAGGGCTTCATCTCAGCAAGAGGAACTGTGCTGCTGTGCGCTTTTTGGACAGCTGAACACATTCCGGAGTCGGACTTTCCGCTCAGCCTTCCTGTGCTAGAAGCTCGTGAGATCTTTCACCGATGAGCTCTATGAGGGATCCATTAAATATAGACCACCACCTCACAGGGAATAAACTCGCCTCCACGCACCACACGGCTCTGGCGATGGCTTCCAGCCTGCAGCCGCTGCAGCGCTCCGTGGACTCTAAGCACCGGTTAGAGGTGCACACTGTGTCGGACACATCGAGCCCGGAGTCTGTGGGTAAGAACCGGCCGGGGTTTCACCCGGAGTCCCAGAGATCATCTGGTTATGAAACAATAGATGGCTGTTATCAGTCACCATGAAGGGAGATTTATATGCATAAAAACCGGAGCTGTCATTTTAATAGCCGCTCATATGTCTCTGGTTTGACGGTGAATTATTGTTTTTTTGTATTGTTTGTTTTTAAACAGTTTAAATAGTTTCTTGTATTTTTAAGATTATTATAAAAAGTAGAGTGCAACTTAAAAGGAAAAAGTATATATTTTTAAATCAATTAAACATTAAAAAGTTCTTTAAAAGGATAAAAAAATATCTGGATTTTATTCTTTTTTAAATTAAAAGAGCAAAATATCAATCTAAAAACCCGTTGTTGTTTTTTTTTATATAGAAAAAGAAAAAATACAAAATAAAAACGACGATTCCTCTGACGACCCGTCCAAGAAGAAGAGGCAGCGGCGGCAGAGGACTCACTTCACCAGCCAGCAACTGCAGGAGCTGGAGGCCACCTTCCAGAGGAACCGCTACCCGGACATGAGCACCAGGGAGGAGATAGCCGTGTGGACCAACCTCACAGAGGCCAGAGTCAGGGTGCGTAAACACACACACACACACACACACACACACACACACACATACCAAGCGTAGCACTTCTGATTCTCTCTGCACATAAACACAATTTATAGTTTTTTTAATTATGCTGCTTTTTGGCACAATTACGCCGTAAATAAAACTTCATGGATTGCTGAAATGTAGTACAATATTATAAATAAAATGTTACTCATAAAATAATTAAAGGGAAATAATTTTTAAAATACTGCAGGATAAAACCACATTTAATTTGACCTCATTCCAATAAACTTGATCAATTATGACAACGCGCAAATATTTACCTCAGTACAAAAAATCTGTAAATTATCTTTATCGTTTAATTATTTTAAATATAATTACAAAATACTAAATGTATTATTTGCCTATTAGGTGTAATTAGGCAATGGTGACGCTGTTAACAGTTGAGGCTATTGACATGCCACTTGTGTTCTTCTCTCCGTGTAAAAGAGGTGCAAAGCTCGTATTTTGCGATTGTCGCCCTGACGTTGTGTGATTAAGGTCAGAGTGTTTGTGGAAGCATGCGGGGGAATACACATCCACTCCACGCTAAGATGCTCCACTGAGACTGCAGTGTGTATTCCGCGCAGATAGAGGCGGCTGTAAAACTGGAGTTCTCTGCGCAAATGGGAATGAGAGGGATTTAATTTTAATTATGTACATTTAGGGCGAAAAAATAGAACCCAATATATAAAAAAATGCACAAATAACAAAAATAAAAATAAGAATGAAAAGGTGTATTTTATCTCTTATATTTGTTATTTTTGTGCTCTAGGTTTGGTTCAAGAACAGACGAGCCAAGTGGAGGAAACGGGAGAGAAACCAGCAAGCCGAGCTGTGTAAGAACGGCTTCGGCCCGCAGTTCAATGGACTCATGCAGCCGTACGACGACATGTATCCCAGCTACACGTACAACAACTGGGCCGCCAAGGGCCTCACGTCCGCCTCCTTATCCACCAAAAGCTTCCCCTTCTTCAACTCCATGAACGTCAACCCTTTATCCTCGCAGACCATGTTCTCGCCGCCCAACTCCATCTCCTCCATGACCTCCAGCATGGTGCCATCCGCGGTGACCGGCGTGCCGGGATCCAGCCTGAACAGCCTCAATAACTTGAACAACCTCAGTAACCCTTCCCTCAACTCTGGGGTGCCCACGCCGGCGTGCCCCTACGCGCCGCCGACCCCTCCCTACGTGTACAGAGACACTTGTAACTCCAGCCTGGCCAGCCTGAGACTGAAAGCCAAGCAGCACTCGAGTTTTGGATACGCCGGGGTTCAGAATCCAGCCACCAATCTGAGCGCTTGCCAGTACGCGGTGGACAGGCCGGTCTAATTGCTACCTGCACTGCAAAAAATCGCCACCGAGCTGACATGTTAGAGGACAAAGCATTTTTAACCCCACAAAAGATCATTTTGAACTGTTTGAAGTATTAAAGGGAATTTACTGCTCGCCTGGTAACCATCTCCCCCAAGACTCAACTTTTCCATCAAATTATGAGAAAAATGTGATTTAATTCGCTCTTATTGACTTTCATTCATTTTCACGCAGGGAATCTGATTTAGAGGGTTATGTTTGTGACGGTGGTTATTTTTTGCAGTGTGTGGATAATTAATAGCAGCCGTCCACAGAAACAAGAGACTACTACAGCTACTTTTCTCTCTCTCTTTTTTTTTCTTTCGAAACAAGGGCACTAGAAGACTGAACCACTGAAACACACTCAGCTCCTCCTCGGAGTCAAACTGAACCGGGAGTTTTTTGAGTTTCTTCCTCTCCGATGAGCGATGGCCTCATTCACTGAGTTAAAAAAATAATCAAAATAAAGGCCTGTTTCACTTTTCACAGCTCGTCATGAGGGCTTTTTCCCTGATGGATTCTGGACGTTAACTGTTGACAGAAATGTTCCTGTAAATATATTTGAATGATCATCTCCTGTTTGTTGAAGCGGCTGCGCTCCAACGCTGCAACTCCTCTCCAGGTTCCAACTTATCGACGCATGTGGATAAAAAAAATACAAATCCTAAAAAAAGGAATCATGTTTTGCTTGCAAACAAAAAGGGAATGTACATACTAAAAACGCACCAGTTGTGTGTTTCGAACATATTATAAATTTATTATTAATGTCTGTGTGAATATCGATTTAGAATAGCAATTCTGGATTTTAAAAAATAATAATAAGCATCCAAAAATGTTCCTGCGACAAATTATTTGGTTTTTTGCTCTGTGTATACTATTTGGTACGGAATTATGTTGTTTTTTCCCCCATCAATTCCCGAAATATTGTGTTTTATTTAATGGAAGTAAATATATTGTTCCAAAAACATTCTGCTGGGCGACTTTTATTTAATCTTTGTGCAAGAAGTCCGTTAGCGGAGTGCAAAGCAGTGACAGCCTTTCGATTGTCTGAGGCGCTTGTGCAGCTAATCTATAGAGGAAAACAATGGGCCACTCCAATACACATGGCACCGGGATGCTCCGGCAGATTAGCCCCTGAATGCGTGTCTGTCTGCCTGCCTGCTCCAGCCAAGAGCCGCGGCTGCTCGCTGGGGCTTGAAATAACACGGGAATCAACAAAAAGCTGCACTGCGGCGCACACAACAAAGACAACAATCTATTAAGTTCCGTTCTCTGAAGTGGATTTTTTAGAGTCAATGAAACCTTAGAATAATGTTTAAAAAGAAATAAGGCGATTCAAACGCAGCCATGCATCAAATCAACCCTGCCTTGTTGGACTCTTATGTACACACCTTAAAACTTGCTTTTTTTGTTTCCAACCAGTTCTTCTTTGTAGACACGCAACCAACCTTACTCATCTGTTTGCCCTTTTATTGTTTTCATTGGCGCTGCTGATTTTTTTATGCTTTAAATGTGCACAAACGTGACAAAGCCAAACAAACTATGAGTATGAAGCTTGAGCAAACATGCAGAGCTGCAGAGGTATGAAGGCCGGGGATGAATGCAGCGTTCATGGAAGAAACACAGCCCACCTCCAGCAGAACGAAAGAAAATATGTGCAATATGCATGCATCAAAATGCTATATTTATATTTTATTTATTTTATATTCCCCCATAATGCAGACATGGGATGTAAAAGTGCAGCATTCCGCAGTTTTTAGCACAAAGGTGGTCTATTGGCCCGATCCGAAGATTCACTGTGAGATTCGCCTGAGGTCGCCTCTCATGGGGCTTTATTATGAGCAGAAATAAATCTCAGTAAGTCCCGAGTGTTGTTTTTACAAAAGTGCCAAATAACAAACACCAGCGAAGCGCTCATCCGTTTCCATATATGCCGGTGCCGTGCGCAGCTGCAAACCCGTTAAGATTTTCCACAAGTGTCACCTTTGGATGGAGTTGGTAAGGCGCGGAAATAATCATCCTGTAATGGTGGGGTGGAGGGGATAAACCCGGGCCAATACACAAGTCTGCAGTCTGAATACACATCGACACAATCAACATGAGACCTGAAGAGGAATCAGCGGGAAATTGTTCATTTGGGTGACACGCTGATCAGGACTGCACACTTCTGTGGATCCCCACTTCTGCTCAAAGGTAAGCATCATCTTATATTTATTTAAAAAAATAATAATAATAATAGGTATGAATTTAAAATGTAATTATTGCATGGACGTTAGGTCTGCACTTTTGAAAATACATTTAATATTTTTTCTTCAGGAAATGTAAGCTTTTTTGCAACACCGCAAATATTTTTGCACATTTTGATGCTTAAGCAAGAGTTGAAATTACATTGAATTCACGGATATATTATCTGGGTATATTTTATTTGAAATACTTATCCTAACTTATGCGTCAAAGAAAACACCTTTCTAAGGGATTCATAACATTGTTTTCAAATTATTGCATCATGTGTAAAATTTGTAATAAAATGCGCGAATAAAGATGGTATTTTCAGTACATCCCCTGCTTCATTTTTACCTACAACGCCGCAGTCCATCCTGAGGGGAAATTTGTTCCACTTGCTGATTTTAGAAGGAAAACTCGCTGCTCTCAGCAGAATTTAAATTAAAAAGACAACAAATGCAAAAATCCAGCAAAAATAATCACAGCCTCTAAAGATTCATGCAGATTAAATATGATGCTGTTTGGTGATGACGGCAAGCCTTCACAGAAGATTTCTAGCTTTTATGAATATGTTGATTATATTTAATGCTAGGAAACTATTTTGGGTGAATAATGGATGTAGACAATTGTTTTTACAAATTAATGCGAACTTTTTTCTCCTTTCTGCATGTCATCTGTTCTTTTGCTGTTTAGTAACTCTGTGTTGCTGTAGCAAGCAGGAAATGTGGGAGTTGGAGGGACATGGGTTAAGATAATGAACACAGATTCCGGATGTTTCAGAGCAGGCAGGGTGGCTCGGATCAATAGTTTATTATTTGGAGGAGGCAGTGAAGCAACAGAGCCAAATTAAATCACAGCAGGACTCCGAAGGGACAGAAACACTCAGCTGGGTGAGGTCAGTGCTGTCTGTCTGTGGGTGAGAGAAGATGGGAGACACGCCAGCATGGTCCATACGTATGTTTGCACACATGTTGGTATGCAGGTGTAGTTTGCAGTGAGACACTTTGGCAAGAGTTGGGCCAACAAGCATGAGCTCTGCAGCAGAGAGGACTCCTGTGTCTGGGGGAGGTGGAGTGTTTGGCTCTTAACCAATGGTGGCCCAGCAGCTTCAGCTAAAGGTCACATGGTGTGACCTCACACATTCTCACCCTCACCTAAGGCCTGAAGAGAGGTTTTCCACAAGATTCATTACAACCCATCTATAGTAACAGGAAAAAAGCTTCTCTGGCAAACTTTCAAAATAAATCAGAAGATGCCTCGATTTATTGCAACATTTGTGTCTGTTTACTTAGCTCAAAATGAAAAACTAGAAATGCTTTTTTTCATAAAAGCGTCGATCTAAAACAGGGTGAAAGTGTTTTATTTTAGTGAGTTTGGCTGGGAGTAGGTGTGCTGTGGGGAGTTCAGGCCCTGCTCAGCGCCGGTGTCTGCTGCGTGTTTGCTCAGAATACATGTGCCATTCGTGCAGCCGTGTAGGAGCTCCTCTGGCTGTGGAAGCTGGGAGCAGTTGGAGGGCAGGCGGCAGGCTAGAGCGTGTGAAAGCAGATAACCAGGACGGATTTCATGACGCACACACTTCCTGTTCTCTGAAGTTCTATTAAAGAGGGATGAAAACAAAACACACACACACAGATCTGAGTTGTTTTCTCTCCAAATCAATTTCTGCACATTGAGAGCATGCTGAAAAGATCAGCGGAGCAGCTCTCATGGAGCTTGAAGGGAGAGAAAAAAGGCTCCATCATGAGGGACTTGAGAATTTAGATGATACGGTTGATGTTTGAGGGTGAATATCACCTGCTATTTTTACAACTGAATCAAAAATCAGAAGCTCTGCTGCCATCTGGTCAAAAGAAAATATTCAAGTTCCAATAAAGAGGACTCTGAATTAAAGGGATAGTTTGGAAAATTTCAGCTGAGAAATCATCAGTAAAATTCCCCTCAGCTGTTGTAGTCAGATCAGCATGAGTCTATAGAAAAGTAAAGAAATCCTCAGAGTGCAGTTAGACTAACAAGCTAATCAGAAAGACATTGCTGTCCTGACTAGTAGGCTCAACTCAAATTGTCCATCAGACCCGCTTATCATTTGGAGAAGATCCAGGGAAGCCTTTATGTTCACAGTGTCACTTTTCAGGAATTGCATGTTGCAACCTGGAAACAGCTGCAGAGTGTAACTTTTATAAGTCAAAACTGTCAGCATGTCGATACAGTTTAACATGAGAAAACATCCAGCTCCTCTCCCTCCTCCCAGTGGTCCTTCTGCCATCTGCAGAAATACATTGTTCCAGATCAGAAAAAAGCAACCAGACCCAGGAGGAGGGTCTTAGTGCTGTCAGTCGCCCTCATGTGTTCACTGCTTAATGTACGAATGGCAGAGAAAAAACTTGTCATTACAGGAAAAGTTGTTAATCTGCCGTCATCGGTGGCTATACTAACTAACCTGTGCATTCATGGAAGGGGTGGGAAACGAGCTGTAGGCTAGCAGAGAGCAAGGCGCATGGCCTGAGGGGGCGTACACAAGCATGATTAACAGCAGTAAGACTGTTCTTCTTGTTCTGATTGGTTGTTTCTGATGGAACCCAGTATTTCTTCAGATGGCAGTATCACCACTGGCAGGAGGCAGAGGAACTTTATTTTTTTTATGATTATCTGACTCATAATATACTGTGAAGACATTTTTAACAAATAAATAAAAGTCATATTATTTTAAAAAGTTACATACTGCAGTTTTAATGCATACAAATGTCTTCCAGCTCAGACAAGCAGCAGAAAAGATTTAGCTTTTAGCTGTGGACTTTTTTTTAGCATAACAGTGAAGTTTACCACAGAGCGTGGCCGGGCTCTGATGGAGGCCAGTGCTGCTGAAGTTGGGCTCTGATTTGTTTAAGGGCTGAATTTAATCATAATATGAAGATCATCCTTTAGCTTTTTCTGTTGATGAATGTTTGAATGTGTTTTATTTTGTGGTGGGAGACAGAACATTCCTACATAGACAATGAAGGTTTTCATCTTGTCCAAAAACAAAGACAACATCATGATTAGTGCTTTTTCTGGAACTAGAACCGCTTTAGATTGAGACAAGCATGAAAACCACAACACAGAAACAAGTCAAACATGGTTTGAGTATTTCTGCATCTTATTAAGATATGGTTTGTGATTTATAAAAACAAAACAGTGGAGCTCATAACATGAGCCCCCACAGGTTGGTCCATTTGTCAACATGTATTTTAGGAATTTAAAGAGAGTGTCTATCAGTGAGCCTGTGTGATGTTCCACACTGTATGCAACTCATCCCAGACGTGCATCAGATCATTTCTGCTTTTACTGGATGGGAATGAAAACAACTGGAAGATCTACAGGATTTCTATGGGAATAATCAGTTTCAGAAGTCTTCCTCAAGCTTCGTCACGTTAACCCGACAAGTCCAAAGCTGCTAACATTTTAGCCTTATCTACAGAATCGTGTTCAGACACCTGCAGTTTACACAGGCTGCCCCCCTCCTGCACTGTTTTCTGTTTTCTTTGGGCCTGTCATCTACTGTAACAGCTTAATTGACGTTTACCTCAGTTTTGCGGCTGTCAGCCACCCAGAGTCTGAGTTTGAAGAGCAGCTCGGCACGACCGCTTCCCAGACTCCAGCTTTAACTAGAAAATTACACCTGAGCACTTGTGTTTGCTTTAGTGCTTCTTTCATTTCATGTCCCACAATCTTCACAACCCAAGGTGAGTCAGAAAAGGCAGAGGGTAATTGTGGAAAACAGAATCTGAGTCTTTTTTTTTCTTAGCTGCAAAGAAAAAGAACGAACAAAGAAAGTCAGAATGACAGAATCAAAGTACAAGAAGTTCTTCAACTTCTCTTTTGGATTTAGCCTTAAACATCCAACCTAACACTGAACATTTGCGCTCTTGAATTTCTTCAGTCTCTCTGTAAAGATCATGTTCAGTCATGCAAAATATACAAACCTGCCATATTTCTGCGCCGTAGTTTGAAATGATGGCAGGAACAGAGGCAGGAACGCCTGCAGAGTTAATGTCACACTTTACAGACCGAGTCAACGTTCCAGCTGTACAAACACCACATCTCTGAGCATAAAATGAGCAATATTACCGGGAAGCCAAGTAAAGAAAAACACACAATATCACAATTTATTCACCTAATTCCAACTTCAGTTCAGTTCCTGAGTCCAAACAGAAATGTTTTCCAAGAGAAATCTCTGTGCTTTCATGTTGTGTGGTTATGGGACAGATTCTGCAGAAATATGGACACACACATGATTTTAGTTCTGCTGAGTAAATTCTTGTCTCTTTATTCTCTTGTCCTTGTTTGGTTACTGGCCTTTCTGTTCTTATACCACACAGGTGGGCACACACACAAATCTGTGTGGAATGTTGAACATTTTACTTAAATGTATTTGGGTGTGATCCTTTGTGGTATTTCAGGTCACTGTAGCTGTGTTACAATCGGACAGTTTCAGGTTTGATTCCAGCTTCCTCTTGTCTCTGAGCCCCTGGGCAAGGCACTTAGCTTCACGTTGCCTGCTGTTGCATGTGAGGCAGAACTTCATCCAGTCTGTTTGCCGTCACAACGTGACTTTATCTACTCGTCAGCAGTGTTCCAGCAGGGCTTGACAAACTTTGCAACTGTGTTAAAACTCTGAAATGTGAAGACAGAACGTGAGCGGCCATTTAACGTAGCCGAATGTCAATTAGCTGCGTTTTACATTTAATTCTCTAATAAACATAATCCAGGAGAACACAGCTTTCTGAAAATGCTCTTGGCTGTGATTTACAGTCTTGGGAAAGTATTCACACCTTATGAATTTTTTACATTTTGAAGCTTTACAATCACCAAAGATCTTCAGTATTTAATCAATAGAACCCAAATTAATGCACAACTGGGAACTGAAAATAAGATATGGTTCAAATCAGTGGTGGGAAGTAACGAAGTACAAGTACATCGTTACTGT